CGGAGGCACATTCGGACTTGGAGACGAAGGCGGGACAGGAATTATTTGAAAATACGTTCAAATAAGAATTAAACAAAATTGTCAAGGGTGATGCTGTGGAAGAATGCAAGGATTAAATAAATAGGAACATTAAAAATACATTTTAAAACCAAAATCGGACCTATCCTGCAGCTCGCTTTATTGTTTCTATACATCTATAAAAACTATTTTCTGTTGAGAGAAGCTACAGTTTACAAAGAGAAAAACGAAAGCTAAACAGAGGCTTTTCAAACAACTGTTCTCAGCTCATGTTTACAGTGCCAGCTCTCACATTAAACTTTGGGAAGGATCTGCCCTCCAGTGCTCTTAAGTTATTATACAGTTAATTTTCTTTGAAACTATTTTTGTCTGCCTCTCTCTAAATAGGTGGTTTCTTAAGTGAGTGTTACTTAAAGGAAACCAATCTGTTTTTCAGGAAGGACTGATGATGTCAGTCCTTTCAACTCTGCTTTCCCATAAGAATTCTTCTAGGAAAAGGAGTTTCACTCTGGGAAATAGTGAAAAGTAATGTGGAAATATTTAAAGCATCTCAGACTGCATGTTTATCAAACTTCTACATGTGGATTTTAATCATGTTGTGATTGTTAACAAATGAAGAAAAAGTGAGAGAAAACCTTTTTGATTTTTGAAGTTAAAAAGGATTTTGCAAAGGAAAAATCACTATACTAAAATATTTTTAAAGAGCTAAATACAAGCCTAAACACAATATCTACAGAACAGCATGTTTCTTCATATCTCTAAATTTATGCAGTCCATTTCAGCATAGGTATTAAACCTGAAACAGAACCACTGTGTATTATGAATCCAAACAAATACTTCAATCCACAACAAGATGAGGAGACAAATTCACAGAGGATCATAATTTTATTGACTTTTTAGTGGGTGTGGGTATGTAGCTACAGAACCAATGCTTGTTTAATTTACTAAATTACTGTTTGTTCTGATACTGCAAATTCCTGCAGTCAACAATGGAAAAATCCTCTGCGTAGAATTAGAGAGATTTCAACTGGCAGTTTAACTGGTAGAGAGACTTTTTACTAGTAGTGCAAGAAGTAGTGATGGTAACATACTGTAAATTTTAATGTGCAGACTAAAACTAATAGGAGATATATAAATTTTTCAGTCTTCCAAGCAAAGCATTACACTTTCATAGTTAAATGCTCCCTGACATGCACATATAGGTGTCCCAAAGATAACATGGGATACATTTGCATAATCAAGGACATAATTTTGGTTTAATTACTCAGCCATTAATCTACAGTGTACCTGAGACAGGTAAGTACCATAAAATCTAATTTATACAAGTGAAAAGGTTGCATAATGCCATATTTCTACCTAATGTTCAGCCCCACAACCAAATGATGTCGTAATAGTCTTATAATAGCAAAAGGCCATAAAAGGATCCCAACTGAACTCAGATATTCCTGAACATGCTCTGGCAATCCAAGAGAACGACAGAAATACAACCTCGCTGGATTAACAGACAGAATAACCCAAACAAAATCTGGGTTGGCTATAAAAGGTGCAAAGGAAATAGCCCTTTATCATCCTCTATTTAACAGTGTAGTTATTCTCCTAAAAAGAACAAAGCCAAAGGATGATTCATTTGGCAGTGAGATCATCCCCACCCGCAGTCGAGGCGTACATCGTGTGGGTAAACAGCTCCTGGGGTACTCCAGCAAAATGTAAATAGATTGCCTCGCTACTATATACACAGCAAACAGTTTCATTTTGAAACTAGGAGTTAAAAAACAAGTGAGAAAAATACTACAAAGCCCGAACTCTGAAAATATTTACAAGAACAAAAGCTAATCACATGTTAACATCAAGAGGTTACAACTGCTAATCAAAAAGGAGATAACAAGCAAGAGCTCTGCTCACAGAAGTCGGGTCATTTGGCCTGAAGTTGTAGCAGTGCTATTGTAACGTGAAAGGAATATTAGGAGCAGAATTTATAGCAGCTTTTCTAATTTAGGGTTTATTGAAATGTTTCTAGATTGCAAAGGACCTAAGAGGAAAATCATGATGACACAACTCTAAGCAAAAAAAAAAATCTTGCACAGATTATCACAATCTTCTCTGTCACGTAACGATTTGTCCCAGTGTAATGGTGCTCTCCAGGCCACGGCCTTTGGTTTTATTTCCATTACAATCAGCTGCATTTACAGGGATGATTAAAGAAACTAACAGTTATTCTTCCTGAAGAAAACTATTCAAGTAATATTTTTTCTTTTAAGAAAAAAACCTAAGTATTTCCATACATGTGCAACATAGAGATTATTCTTGTTACACAGCAGAAAGCTGATAGACAAAATCAGCTGAATAAAATTTACCAAGGGGCACACAGTGCACCAAAAGTAAAGAATTAAACCCAGAACTGCCACTAGACCAGCGTAACTCTGCTAAACAACAAAATTTAACATTATAACATGATAAGGAGCTGTTACAATCTGAGTAAACACATCTTCAGTCACAAATTAAAATAATCTCTGGGCTCTGGTTAATCCAGCTGCCACACATGCACAAAATCCCTCCACTGAAAGTCACTGCAAACTTCAGCTATTTTTCCTTCCAAGCTGACAAATAAATGGGTTTTATAAAAGGCATATATAATATGGTTCAATATCCTGCCTGCCTTCAGTCAGGTAAACTGAAAGATTACTGAAATGAAAGAGCAGCAATAATATTACTAAAAACACTAAAATATTTTGCCCAATGGATTATTTAAAACCAAACTATTTCATCTTTTTTTCTATTATTTTTTTTATAACAGCTCTGCTAACTCCTCCATAAAATCCCCACTAATTCCTCATGGAAATTTTTCATGTGAAAATTTGCAAGTTACCAACACCCAGTCTTAAGTATGTGTTCAACTGCAAGCCCTTCTACACCGTGAGGAAGTATGAGCAAAATCTGTGTGAAGTTCTCTAGAAATCCAAGTTACCTTCCTGCCTGAATTCTCAGTGCCCATATGGAGCCTTCAAATGGAGCTAATTGTTTAAACAGAGCCATGATTTTCAAGCAATAATGACTGCATAAAAATCTAGTTTATTGTATTTCAAGACAGACATTTGAAAACTGAAGCCTTAAAACTTGAGACACTCCCACAAATGCTGCTCCCTTTCTCTCTCGTCCATGCATGTCTTTCCCCTACCTAGAAAATCTGTCCACCACTGAAGACCCAAGAGCAAATGAAACTGCTGTTCTTTCTTAAAAAAAAAAGTGTCAAATCTATTCAAAACTTCAAATGTACCTAAGAGGACTGTAAAGGCAGCAACTCACTGCAATTTCCCTTGACAGAAAACAGAATTGGTTGTATGAAAGCTACATGAATTGATAGTTCCTTCCTTTCCTCTAAGTGATGTCAACAGTTAAAAGGGGTTGGATGTGCCACAGTAAACCTTCAGAGCACTCCCCAGCCTGTTTCAAGCCTGACATGCTGAGCTGCTGTACAGCAATGAGAGAGAAAGTAAAATGGTAGATACACAAATGTCTCCAAGGAGGAGGAAACTACAGATCACGTTTTGGGTGCCTTCCAGTGGCTCCAGGCAGAAGAGCATGGTTCCAGAACAGCTATATAGAAAACTTTGTTTAGAAAAGTCCAAAGAAAAGAGAAAATACAAAGGCTTCTTCTAAGACAATTCTGGTTCCCTCAATAATCAACAAGTCTAAAAATGTTCCTTTGATTCAGAAACGTCACAAAGGTTCTCTCTATAGCAGCAAAGATGTTGACTGTGACAGCACACAGTTGGGCTTTCACAAGAACTTCTAATCCTCCTCATGACCAGGGAAGAGGGACTGTTCTTGCCATTTTTAATACCCTCAGACTGGACAAGGGTGGCTACCCGTACAAACTGCTATTTAAACTTCCACTTCAATGGAAGCTCTGACTTGCCCTTGACAGAAAGGAGGGCTAAGGATGCAGCAAATCCCGAATCCAAACAAAGAAGCTTCTAGTACAGACCTCATGAAAGAAGAGGGCAAAAAGAATAGCAAAGAGGAAGCTGAAGAAGCTGGGACAATGATGATTTTTGATACTATTTTAGAGGCCTTTTAGTCCTTTTAGTTTCTCCAGTGTGCATCCATCACAGGAGTAGGATGTACAGATCCATTCTCACAGATTTTTGTGTCACATTGCCCAGACACACACAAAAGTGGACAACAATCTGTGCCATCAACTTCACACCACCTACTTTCCACATTTCTCCTCAGCCAGTATTTATTGTGCACAAGCAGGTGTGCCTCATGGTCATTGAGGGTGATGGACAATGAGAATTTTAGGTCTATGAACACAGACCAGATTACCAACTGTGTGTGAGATGGCAAGAAAACTTGAAAGACCCCAAAACTTACACTTTAGAGTGGAAATTATTCAGACATCTGCGACAGTGCAGTTTACTGTAGTTGCAAAACTGGAACTATCTGAATCATCTGTACCTTGGCTCACTCCTATCATATCTGCATCCATTACATACTTTACACACCACCTGCAGCACCTTAGTTGATGAACCTCATTTTTTGGTTGCACAAACTACACAGGCAAATAGAATGAAACAATTCAATTCTTTCAGCCTCCAGTAAAACCAACATTTCTGCTGTTCAGGCTGTTAGCAAATCCTACTGAAACGTGAAGCTGGAAGACTATGACGATTGTTAGGCCTCCATCTCCAAAGGTATTTAGGAACCAAATCTTTGAGTCAGGCAGCTACACAGCAAGCACTGAAACATCTTAGAGGATGTGGGCATTAACGACTCAAGAGGAAAGGTTGCTTGACAATGTAAGGGAGAGGAAAAAAAAGAAAAAAAGGATAACAAAGGGGTTTACCGTGGAGCGGTGAGCCAGAGGGGCTGCTGGACAGGCCTGGGACAGGGCTACAGCGTCCTCCTTGCTTAGATGTCAGCTCTTGCTCGATCTCCTCCAGCCCTGCGCTCTTCTGGAAGCGGCTCATGCGGTTCACCACGCGGGGGGACATGTGTGTGCGGACACAGGGCTGCCCGCCGTAGGGGTTGATGGGGAACACGTGGGACGTGCCACGGAGCGTGCTGACCACCACCCAGCGACAGTCGTGGCTGAAGGAGATATCCTGCACCTAGGGAACAGTGAAATGGGAACGGAGTCACCAGCGTACGCACATCCAACGAAGGAAACGGACTATCACCTTTGAAACAAACACAGATCTTAAATGGAAACCTGAATAAAACCCCCTAAGTTCAGGCAGTAACTTGGAATTTTTGTGTATATACCCATGAACTTAGCATTCACGATATATAATAAGCTGCAGTATAACACCCGGTTCCAAATTCTGTGTACTTTTCAAAATATTCTGAGATTTTTCTTTTCAACACGCCTGAACTTATGAAAACAAACCATGCTGCAAAGTACCACAGAAAGCCACAAGAGCTCAGTGTAATTTTCAAATAAAGTATAGTTTTAAAAAGAGTTGGGAAATCATTTCAATTACATGTTTTGTTATTTGTTTGTTTGCTTTAATTTTTAAAGATTACACAAAAAGGGGAAAGGGAGAGATGAGAATAAGATAGAAATCTCACCACTGGGCCTGATTTTGACAAATACTGGCACTCAAAACTATATTTTAAGTCGACAGAAATACCGTGTCCTACAGAACAAAATGAAAATCAATGGCCTGTATTTTCAGAAGCTGTCTGTAACAGTCTCTAATCTTACTACTGTCAGTGTATCCCTCAGTGGAACTACCAGTCATCCAAGTATCCCTGGACGTATGCTTTTTTGGGGGGTTAAAATTGTGTCATGAAGAAACTGAACAACTTTGGCCATTTCTCTCTATAAACCCACTCCATTTTACACATAAAAATCTTTACTAATCAGCCACTGGAGTCACAGAAAAGACCCCAGTTAGATTTCTTCTTAGGTATACAAGTCCTTATCCAACACTTGAGAAACACAAGTCTTGTTTTAGCTTAAAATAGTCAGTCTTGAAGCAAATACAGTTAAATATTTTCTACTACAATTACTCCTTGCATAGATCTCAGATACTAAGTCCAGAAGGATTTAATTCTCTTTTAAGTGTGCTTTACACAACACTTTGATGGAAAGCAAATTTTCCTTCCTGAAGGAATGCTTTAAAAGAGAGATTAAAGTTTGCTTCCAACCCTGTACTGGCAGGCAACTCAAGAAAACAAGTAGCCTAGGTTAAAATGATTTATCACAGAAAAAAAATAAATCCTAAGATTCTTCCAAAAATGTTTTTAAAGGTAAAAGCTGATGAAAAAGAACCACGTATGCAAGTAGGATTTAACACTGCAAACAAAGATACAGACGAAGGATTAGTTTTCATTATATTATTAAACAGCATAAACTAAATAAAATTCTTGAAGATTTCACTGAAGCCAGTTTTACAATACACTAGGTACTCAAATTGGAGTAAACACTGATAAAATCTTGACAAATATTCCAGAAATGCACTCCAGCTATTCCAGACAAAAGCAGCAAGTATTTGTCAAAGTGCAAGTTTCCAACTGAGCCCTGAAGCCTTTGAGATAAAAAAAGGTTTTAAGTCTTGTGACTTGTGACAAGATATTTGGCTGACACAATGTCAGGACATGAAATGCTTGATCACCATTACACAGATAAACTAAAAAACAGTGCTACACACCTTCTCTTTTCAATTACAGTAACATACCCAAATAATCTGTCAATGATACAGCTAAACAACCTCCCCAAAATGTGACAGGTTTTGCACTTCAGTGACTCTGGTATTACTGTCACAAAGTCACAGCGCTTAAAGCTCCTGGTTTGCCGACAAAGCGTTCCACCTTAATAGACTGCTCAAAAAGGATTAGAGACCCCACAGAGACTAACAAGAGCCAAAAAAATAAAGCTCAAAGCCATGGAGTCAGAGGAAAAACCATGGCACCAAGAATATTTAAATACTTGCTGTTTAAAGAGGCAACTTCTCCCAGCCAAAGCTGAACACATGGACTGTATACAAATTGCCATTCTCAGTTACAACAGAATGGTCACCAGTGCAATAAAATCATGAAGACTGTTGGAATATAATTTAATTCTATCAAAGGCCCTGTTTTCTCATTTCTAATAACAGAAAGAATGGCCATGATTGTTGTTAGATGTGACGCCACTGAACAAGTCACTGTTTTCCAAATATCTGGTATTCATTTTAAATCCAGCTTTAAATTCCCCTTCCGATCTCTAAAACAACCTATTACTGGTAGAGCATTTTTAGAGGACATTTCTATGAGATGACAAGAGAGAAAAAATATTATATCTTGCTATACTGCAGAACAGAAATGTGTATGTTTCTATTACTAGTCTTCAGTATGCATCCTTAGGATTACGTTGTTTTAAAAACACATAAAACAGCCCTGGCATTATGATAACACAAGCCAAGAAACTGGGAAACAATCATCACAGGATGTTTTTTTCTCAATGTAAACATTACACACAAAAAAAGTATTCCTGATCTTCAGGAAGAGAGTTTGAAACAACATAATCCAAAATGTTCTCTTCAAAATAACCCTCCCTGCAGTTAGACAGTGAGTATCACAGTCATGATGACTTAAAATATGGCTGAAACCACAGAGGCAGAGAAAAAACAGGTTTTTAAGACTCAGTAGTAAGAAGGAAAAAAAAAAAAAGCGTTGACAGATGAGTGTGAAATCAATTAAAATTTATAGGAGTACAGCTCTGAAACCCTACTCAGCAGCCACAAAAAGTATTCTGGAAAATACCACTACGCATGCAGCAATTCTACCTATCTCCTACCAGCCTAAAAAATGGCCTCGTTTGCCTTTCACAGCAAATGAGGAGCAGCAGTACCACACACAGTTCAAGGAGGTAATTCAGAGAGTATTTCCCATTTCATACAAGGCCATGAATTCAATGTGTTCATATCAAAAAAGTACAAATCCATCCATGGAAATCAAAGGAGCCCAGAAGTTTCCAGCAGACAGAAGCAAGCCGTGGACCAGGCTGGAAGGAGAATGCTCATCATGGCAGTCTCAGAAATGACTTCAAAAAATTAGCTGTGCGTGTCCATGAAAAATAAAAACATATATTATCCCAGACTTGCTGCTTTCCACCATGCTGTTACTGTACATTACACAGAGTTCTTGACTGCTTACAGTATAAACAAACTGCACAGTGGCCCATTAGTGGTTTTCAAGTTTATGCTAAGCGTTGCAATTTATTGCTGTCCTTTAGGTTAATGTACTATTATTTCATGTATTTATAATATATCTCTGGATTTGTTGTTAATTATGATGTAATGTTTAGATACCAAAGATCAATCAAGACCCCATAGTGTTTACAGATATATGTTAATAAAGTACAAAGTACACTAGATCTCTCACAAGGCAAAGTTTATTCTATAGCTCAAGGTCAACATCAGATTTAATACTCGTGTCTGTATTTCAAAATTTTATCTATCCTCTTCTGTCTCAGACAGTAAAGGGAATTACAGACCTGGGATTTTGTTTAACTCAGGAACCCTTAAGATAGCCTAAATTGCAATACTAAATACCTTTGTGGGAACATCACTGCTTTACTACCATTTCTTCCTCTTAGTTTGCAAGCAGTTTGGCTCTTTAAGCTTCCAACTGCATTTCTTGCATATCCAGAAACCTCAGTGAGATCCCTGGATACTTCAAGGTCCTCCTTAGAAACACCAGAGTCTTTTCTGGCCCAAAGGTATGCACTTAAGACAACCACAGTCTGATATAAGGGTAACATCACGCATCCTCCAATTTGCCCATGTCTAAACCAGGTATTCTGTAACTGCTGTTCCACAGCAGGTCTGCAAACATTTCGTACCATGTTTTATAGCCTATTTGCCTTGCTCCACAAATCCTGATCAGAACCTGTCAAACCCAAAAGTGTTCTGGCTCTTCAGACATGCTGCACCTCTATATTACTGTCTATTACTGACTCTTGTCTGTATCAATATGCTAAATTTGTTGAAAAAAAATTCATTACTCTCACAAAATTATCAATACTACTCCACTGCATAGCTCCCCTCAGCTTTGTCATTTCTCTCACTTTCACCATTTGTTTCTTAAAACCCTTTCCATCAAAGCATTCACTTACAACCTCCATAACTTCTTTTCCATCTTACATTGTCTTCTGCTTTCCTTCAGTTACTCTTCTCCTATGCTTCTTTTTAGTGTCCACTATCCTGTTTCCCTGTGTTTTGAACAATATGATGTAAAATCCTCCACAAAACTGAATGAAAATTTAACAGCCATGTTGAGAGGCTGAGCTGAGTGAGACAGTCGGGTGATTTGATAGATGGAGTCCTACAAAGACACGTCATGTGTCAACAGCTCTACTGAAGATCACTTTCAAGACTGTACAGATAAAAAGATTATTTCTAATAGTCTGAAAAACTAAAGGAAATCATCTGAACCAAAGGCTTCATAGCTGACATACATTCACTTATTTTATATAACAAGTACCTACATAAACTTTTGCTATCTTTTCTTCTTTATTTCCAGAGCTTCTCCAAACTTAAATGTGACTTTAATTAGACCACAGTGATAGAATAAATTAAAAAATAATTCAAGCTAATGGAAAGAAAACAAAATAGGAATAAGGGCAGCACAGAAAAAAACTTATTTTAACAGTAGTTGATTATAATGGGATGGTCAGAGGAACAGCTGATGACACAAGCAATCCCACGGGACAGGCAGTGACCTTGTTTACCACTGCCCTGGGAATGACTGACAGCCCACAACCAGCCTCCAGATTTCAGGGCTTCTAAAAGTTAATATTGTACTAACTTGCTGCACAACGTTTAAATGTAGACTATCACTTGTTTTCTTAGGAGAAGGAGCTTTTTTGGGCTATCACAGAAACATCCCCAGGCAAACCCATTCCTGATGTGTGTGCATAATGCAATAGCTAGAAAACAAAGGTCTCAACGTTGAACCATGTATTTTCATAGTGATTACAAGAAACAACGATTAGGATGCATTTTGATCTTCCTAGGGCTCTTTTTATTTTCCCTAGTGCCCCTTTTCCAGCTGTGGCAAGTTGCACCAGGAACAAGATGTATATTCTTATGTGTTTCACTGCATTAAATTAAGCTTTACTAGC